TTCTTTTTCTCTTTCTTTTTCTTTCTCTCTTTCTTTTTCTTTCTTTCTCTCTCTCTATTTCCTTCCTTCTTGCTTTCTCCTTTCTTCCTTTCTTTTTCTCTTTCTTTTTGAAAGATAGAATCTTGCTCTGACGCCCAGGCTGGAGTATAGTGGCATGATCTCGGCTCACTGCAACCTCCACCTCCCAGGTTCAAGAGATTCTCCTGCCTCAGCTTCCCAAGTAGCTGGGACTATAGGTATGCACCACCACATCCAGCTAATTTTTGTATTTTTTTTTTTTTAGTAGAGATGGGGTTTCACTATATGTTGGCCAGGCTGGTCTCAAACTCCTGACCTCATGTAATCTGCCCGCCTCGGCCTCCCGAAGTGCTGGGATTACAGGCGTGAACCACCGTGCCCGGCCAAACTCAAGCACCTTCTTTTATGTGACTTTTTTTCCCCCCAGCCAAACTTTATCTAGCTTTATTAAAGATACTTTCCATAAACAGTCATGGCATTTCAGGCAGCACATGGGTAGACAATCCTTAACAGTATACAACAACTTTCAAACTCTCTTCTTCAATGGACTACCAAAAAACATAAAGCCACTGTAAAACCCAATGGAGGGCTGGGCAAAGTGGCTCACACCTGTAATCCCAGCGCTTTGGGAGGCCGAGATGGGCGGATCACCTGAGGTCAGGAGTTTGAGACCAGCCTGGCCAACATGGCAAAACCTTGTCTCTGCTGAAAATACAAAATTATCCAGGTGTGGTGACACACACCTGTAATCCCAGCTACTCGGGAGGCTGAGATGAGGCTGGAGAATCACTGGAACCTGGGAGGTGGAAGCTGCACTGAGCTGAGATTGCACCATTGCACTCCAGCCTGGGAGGCAGAGCAAGACTCTGGCAAAAAAAAAAAAAAAAAAATAGAATATTCATTTGACTCTCTGAACCAGAAAGTTTAGGGTGAAGGTTGACATTTCACATTTAGCATGTTGCTTAACATGAGCCGACCCTGACTTTCAGGAAGTGAAGTGAAAATGGCAGAATCTGTCTGAAGATGCATAATCTAGAAATTGAACCACTGCTCTTTTGAGGAACCCCATCTCAGTGGCCTCACTGGAACGTTCAGATTGCCTGACACTGGTAACCAACTAATAGGGATCAGGCCTCAACAGATGTCTGGGTTTAAGGGAGTTAAGTTTATGCTGAAGATGGAAAGGGAGAAGAGGACATAAAAACAAATTTGTTTTTCCATACCACAAGGCTCTTGTGCTAAGGTGTTTGTGTTTGTCAAGGTCAGGGAATCCCTCCTCCTGGGAGCCAAGAGGAAGCCTCTCAAAAGTAGAAGGGAAGACCAGCCTGGCCAACATGATGAAACTCCTTTTCTACTAAAAAAACAAAAATTAACCGCACATGGTGGTGCATGCCTGTAATCCCAGCTACCGCTTGAATCCCAGAGGTGGAGGTTGCAATAAGCCGAGATCAGGCTATTGCACTCCCGCCTGGGCGACAGAGCAAGACTCCATCACACGCGTGCACACACACATACACACACACACACACACACACACACACACGCAGAGAAAACTAAAAGGGAAAGGTGTTTCCCCATATCAATCCAGCTTCAACACAGTCTATTAGTGACAGTGACAGGCATCTCATGCCCAGAAAACAGCAATGAAATGCACTGTGTGCTAACAACGTACCTTAAAAAAAAAAGAAAACCAAATTCTGCCTTTTTATAAAATTTGATAAAAATAGTATTTCAAACTGTAGTGTCACCAACTACATAGTTATCACAAATGCACACTTCACCTGGCATCTCCAGCACCTTGGCTTCCTGTGCCTGGTGTGTTTAGGCTTCTGCATTCTCTGCAGGGTTATTCCCCTCCTTGCCAGCATCAGTTCTTCCCCTTTTCCCTTTGGGTAACTTCTCTCCCTTCTTTGCAAGGCCTCCTTAGACTTGGCTTTGGAGAAGCAGATGTAACAGACAACCTTGCAGCTCTTCTCTGTGGTTCGTCCTTCATCTTGGCGTTATCTCCTTAGCATCCACTCTCTTTCTCTTGGGCAGGGCGGCAGCTACAGCGGGACATAAGCCCTGAGTAAGAGATGCAACAGCGCCTGGGTTATAGTTGGTCTGGGAGTTGTTCTTGCCTCTTCTTCACACTGCTCCTTTATGTAATCTTGAAGAAGAGACCTACCCTATATGTGCCTCAGTTTCCCTATCTATAAATGGAAATAATGATCTTTCTTGGGGGTTTAAGGTTAAATAAATTAAGGTATATGGAAGTATTTTTAAAAATTTATGTAGAGAACCAGTGTATCAAGCTTGAAATTATACATAAAAAATTACTGGCTGGGCACAGTGGCTCACACCTGTAATCCCAGCATTTTGGGAGGCCGAGGTGGGCAGATCACTTGCGGTCAGGAGTTCGAGACCAGCCTGGCCAACATGGCGAAACTCCGTCTCTACTAAAAGTATTAAAAAAATTAGCCAGTCATGGTGGTGCACACCTGCAATCCCAACTACTCGGGAGGCTGAGGCAGGAGAATCACTAGAACCTGGGAGGCAGAGGTTGCAGTGAGCTAAGATTGCACCTGGGCAACAGAGGAAAACTCCATCTCAAAAAAAAATAAGTAAATAAGAAGAAAATAGCTAGAAGGAAAGGGTAGGAATGAAGGCATATATGGGGTTCTAAGTAAAGGGAGAAATGTTCCGTCTAGTTGCCACTGAATCATTCATATGTCACTGTTCAGTATTCAACTTTTAGAGACAGAGTCTATGCTTGACTTGGCTGGCCAGGTGCTCACACCTTCAGCAGGAGTTGGTAGGCACCTTGATTGAGGTCCGACTACATGTAATATAAGAGGTATGGTTTCTGCAGAGCAAGAGCAGGATGCTATTACAAGAAAAAGGAGGAATGGCTGCTGGCCAGTTATAAACAACAAGTAGAAGTCTAAATCACTGCACAAGTGAGCATCCTCTGTCTGCTTACACTAATTTGAAAACAGATGCAGAAAATACTGTTATGAATCAGTCATGATCCAAACCAAATTCAAACATAGTAAGAAAGAAAAAATAAAGAGGAAAGAAATTGATATTGACTAATATAATTAGGAGTTAAAAAGAAAAAAAAAAAGGAATGGTTTAGACCTGCCCATTACTAAAGTTTCTCATGAGCAAGTATTTAAATACTACCTAAATAGCCCATTAACAATAGAATGATAGATAAATTTGGATGTATTCATACAACAGACTTCACAAAATTAGAATGGGCAATCTCAACTATGGACAACAATATGGGTGAATCTTTTAACCATAATATTGAAAAGGAGACAAAGAATACATACCAGAGGATTCGATTTATATAACGTAGAGAAATAGGAAATCTTTGTCATTAGAAGTCAATGATTAATGCCACCAAAGATAGTAAGCAGGGATGTGAAAGCTGCAGTCTGTAGACTGGTACCATGTTTGATAAGTATATTATAATTTTTATGTTAAAATACATGAAGAAAAAAGTAAATGATTACCTTGGAGGAGTTAGAATTGTGTCTGGAGGCTAGGCACATGGCTCACACCTGTAATCCCAGCACTTTGGGAGGCTGAGGCGAGTGGATCACCTGAGATCAGGAGTTTGAAACCAACCTGACCAACATGGTGAAACCCCATCTCTACTAAAAATACAAAAAATTGACCAGACGTGGTGATGGGTGCCTGTAATTCCAGCTACTCAGGAGGCTGAGGCAGGAGAATTGCTTGAACCCAGGAGACAGAGGTTGCAATGAGCTGAGATTGCATCACTGCACTCCAGCCTGGGCAATAAGAGCAAGACTCCATCTCAAAAAGCCAAAACAAAACAAAGCAACAACATAAAAGAATTGTGGCTGGAAAGGAAACAGGAGGTGAGAAATTGTTTGGTTTTGAAATTTCATTCAACTGTATGCTTATGATATAAGAACTTTTCAGTATTGTATACTTAACTGACTTTTTGACATGTATTAGTAATCCCAAAGAGATATTACGTGCTTAGTAGTTTAAGAGGCATCAGGTCATGCTGTTGTGTATAAATTACCTAAATGCTCGTTTTGTTTCTGTGTTCATGGAGCCTTCAACAACCCCTATAAATAAGTCAGAATTTTCTGGATATGTTGATTATGGTAAGGTTTCATAATGAGCTCCTTTAAATAAATCAAAGAACATATTTCTTGACTTGGAGGACATTCCTAATAGTGGTCATTTTAATTAGCTAATTTTCTATATCTGGGGATGACTTTAAAATTATTTTATGCTGGGCGTGGTGCTTGCACCTATAGTCCCAGCCATTTGGGAGGCAAAGCAGGGGGCATCTCTAGAGCTCAGGAGTTTGAATCCAGCCTAAGAAACATAGCAAGACCCTGGGTCTTAAAAGAAACAAAAAGAAACAGAGGTGGGGAGAGAGGGAGGTAGAGAAAGAGAGAGAAAAGGGAGAGAGGGAGGGAGGGAGGAAGGAAGGAAGGAGAGAGGGAAGGAGGTGGGGGAGAGAGGAGGGAAGGGAGGAAGGGTGAAAGGGAGGAGAGCTAGAGGGGAGGGGAGGGAGGGAGGAAATGGTTTTATAAGAATTATAATGTGTCTGGTATTTTTACTTCCTTGACTTGCTGCTACTTCCTTATGTAACACACAAAACACCACAGAAGAAAGACATATTTTCTTAAATTTGAGGTAAAATTCGATCTAGACGTTCTTTAAATTATCATTTAAACTTATTCTATAGGAAAGCTATTTCACTTACTTTGAATTCTTACTTTTCTTGAAATGCATGAAAGTACATGTGATGAGAATGTGTGATTCCAAAGAAGTCTTGCTGGGAAGGTAAAGCAATTGGGAGGTGTAGGGGGCAAGTGGACCTGTAATTTGGTAGTATGGCTCATGGAATATAAAGTGTCATTAAATTACAATTTACACAAATGAACACACTGTAGTGGCTCCTTATAGCTTTCAAGGAAAGTGATGTATTTTTGGTTTGTTTGGGGTAGATTCTGCCGTTCCTGTATTGCTACCAGTCTAAAGAACAACAAGTGGACTTGTCCTTATTGCCGGGCATATCTTCCTTCAGGAGGAGTTCCAGCAACTGATGTAGCCAAAAGGATGAAATCAGAGTTTAAGAACTGCACTGAGTGTGACACCCTGGTATGTGACCGGCCTGTGTTCATGGTTACCAACTTAAGTCCCTGAGAAAGTTATCATTTCACCTCTGCTTCTGACCCCATGGTACTACCCACCCTTTCTTTTCTGGGTTTTTTTTTTTTTTTTTTTTT